CCACTTTACGAGCCAAATTTCCTAAAGATCATTATATTTTATGCTAACAATATCATCCCAAGATAGAGGTACACAATTCAAAGCCTGTTACTGATCAGTGTTGCCAAGTCAACATATTTCCCACTTTACGAGCCAAATTTCCTAAAGATCATTATGTTTTATGCTAACAATATCATCCCAAGATAGAAGTACACAGTTCAAAGCCTGTTACTGATCAGTGTTGCCAAGTCAACATATTTCCCACTTTACGAGCCAAATTTCCTAAAGATCATTATATTTTATGCTAACAATATCATCCCAAGATAGAGGTACACAGTTCAAAGCTGTTTATGATCATTGATAGCATTTGTTTTTTTTTAATATAGTATCCTATTATGTACAGTGATTCCAACAGTGTTTTCAACTGTATCCAGAGGGCTCATCAGAACTTGTAAGTTCAATCTTTAAGTTATAGAATACTTTGGAATAAAACTTGTAAGTTTAATCTTCATTCAGAGGTTACTGCAAGTAATTTTATGCCCAACCATTAATTTAGATTTGTCACAATAGTGGAATTAGATACTGCAAGTGTGCTTTCATTTAGAGTGTAACATAGAATCAGCTACTATGTATTACATATGCTCAACTGTTCTATAAATTGTGTGAAAATGTGTTGTCAGCATCTTACTGTCTTTGATTTTATATTACGTATATTTTGTTTAAGGTCAAGCACATGTACTTGCTAACAGGGTCTGTAAATAAGCAATAAACTTGCTGACATTTTTTTTCTCCATTAAAATTTGTGATGTTTGTAAATGAATTATGCTATGAATAGAGAAGTAGCAAATTGCAACATTTCACTCATTGTTCACTATTGTTAATAGAATCAAATATAGTAACTGCCAATGTACTTGTGAACCTGTGGGCCTATGGCCCACATTTACAAGGTCGCTATAATGCAAATTTAACCCTTGAACTACTATTTTGTACTTTTTCAGTTTATTGATCATTGCCACTATAATGTAATTTCTTTAATCAAGTTATTGTTAGTAATTAGTAGGCCTACTTAGTTACGTGCTCTAATGTTGTTTTTTTTCCTCTCTGTTGGTCATTTGAAATAAGATCAATATTTTGTAAAGATTGAGTAATGTTACAAAAATAAAATAAATACATAATCAGAACAAAAAATGAAAGGCCTTTTTTCTGTTTTGCTTATTTTGTTGTGTGTTTTTATTTCTCTAGTGTTCAGTGTTTTCACTCACTGATAGGTTTCCTTTTTTATTTTGTTAACTTAAGTTTCAGTATATAGGTTTCTTCTGATAACCTTTTGTGACATTTATGCTAAAATTGTTCTTTCTGTCTCTTACACATTTAAGTGGCTTATTGATATTATTTTGAATTATCTAAGGAATATTTGCATTCCTTTATGCGTGAAATTTAATAAAGTGCATAAATAAAGAATATAATTTTGTATTAATTGATATTTAAGTTACATTTCTGTATTTATTTTTATAGTTGATAATCAATCTTTTACATCTTTTTTTTATTCTTTATCTAGCTTAGAAAATTATACACAGTTTCAAGTTTTGTTGCTGTTGGGTGGAATCCATTACCCTGTAAGTTTCCATATTCTAAGCCTATTTTTTTAATAAAAGGTTATGATTATGGAATTTAATGTTAACGTAAGATTAGAATTTAGTTTACCTAGCATTTTTGATACAGTTAATTTTATTAATATTTTGAAACATTATGTTCAAATTAATGTCATTTTTTCTTTCTTCACCAAAACATTGGATTAGGAATCCAAGAATTAAGATGGGAAGTGGATAGAGGTAAACGATAAAGGTTGTTTTGGGAAGGATGAGAATGAGAGTGCTTGGTTTATAAGGGTGCATAGTGGGGGGAAAAAATGTTTAATTTATATAGGCAGTTTCAGTTAGCCTTCAGGCACCAGTCTCTAATAGAATTGAACCTTTGGCTACTTGCAATAAGGAATGAGATGATCATAGTGGAGTACTTTCTCATTAAGTATACTGATAGTCATTTGTTGCTGGGACTAGAATTTGCTTCCCAGTTGTTAAAGTATAGGACATTATAGAGCACGTTAATTATTTAGTTGTTGGTACAATGGAGCATTATTTTTTGTAATACTTGTTAAAGTGAATGATGTGGGAAACCTGTAAATCAGAAAACCTATTTAAAAAATAGAAATAGAAGTAGATGTGTGGCCCTGTCAAGAGTGCTCCCTTGGGCAAGATGTGGCAGTGGATTACTTAACAAGTCCCAAGGCTTAAACAAAAGATTATCAAGGACATGCTTAGAGCAAGAGGCAAGCTGGTTGGATCCTTGGGATAGTTTTTGGAGTAAGAATGAATTATATGCTATAAATGAGATCCACTTAATTAGGCTAGGCATTAGAGTGTTTGGGGAAGCTCTATAGATATTCATTAAAGTTAGTAGCAGAGAGAGTTCTTGGGAAATCGGGAATAAACACATTGATAGAGATAGCTAGGGCAACATACAGATTAAAAAGAAAATGTTGAGATGGCAAATTAAATAATACATTGTAAAGATATATCTGTCATATTTAAAGATAAACATAATATATTCAAAAATACTCGTAGTTGCTGGTATTTTATTGTCAAGAATATTAGGAATGAAAGGGAAATATAAATGGGTGAGTTCACTACTGGTTGAAATGGAAGACTGATATAGTGGAAATTACTGAAACTTTACTAAATGTGGAAACATTAATAATATGAATATTTGGAAATTCCAAGTTATAAGTTATTTAATAATGATAGACTTGTTTTTTAAGACTTTTTTTTTAAAAGAGGAGTGGAATGGCTCTTTATATACTTGATGAAATGCAGCAGGAAATTGGGAATGAAGGTATAAAAAATGGTAGTTGTTAGGTTAATTCCATATAGGTTAAGCTTAGGGTTTTTAACTCTAGATAGGTTTTAATTAGTAACTGTTATAGGCCATCTGATCAGAAAGATGAGGTCAAAGAGAAACTGTATAACGAGATCAGTGTTGTTACTATTAAGAATACTGATAAGTGAGAGAGACTTCCATTTTAAGCACATTGAATAGGATTAAATGGAGTCAGATAGTGATGTGTTGAAGTTATATAGGATGGTTTTCTATATTAAATAGTAAGAGAACCAACCAGAGGTGAAGCCATTTTAGATTTATTATTAACTACTAGAGCTGAAGTAGGGGCACAGTATGGAAAGTGTGATTATTGTATAATTAGGTTTTATGTTTTGTATGCATTGAGATAACAAGAAATGAAATTTTAGTTCCTGTTTTTGAGAAAGCCAGTTTTATGGTCATGACACAAAATTTATCATGTGTGATTTAGATAAATAGTTAAATAATAATGTGGGACAGATTTGGGAAATTAAAAATAAATGAATTGCTTTTAATTCAAAGTAATCATGTTCCTAAAACAAAGAACAGAATAACAGCGAAGCGTAATTGGCTTAATAAAGTCTAAAGATGTAAAGGAAAAAATCTGAGATAAATGCCATAAGTATAAAAATGGTTTAAATTGAAAGGTTGGATAAAAAGATTTACAGAAAGGTAAGGATTTTGTAAAAAAGTAATTGGTTTATAATGTTAAAACTAACAGAAAGATGTTTAATGTGAGCAAAATGCTGGAATAGGTATTGAGTCCTTAAAAGATGCTGATGGAAATATTTTTGTTGAATACTAGGAGAGTGCCAGACTTTTAAATGTTATTTTCTGTTTTTACTAGAGAAGATGTTAAAATAAGAAATCCTGTAATTTTGCAAACAATGTTGTTTCAGTATTGGAAACCTTAGAAAATCAATGTTGTTTTTTTATCAGGAGGTCCTGGAAAAGTCCTTGAAAGTATAATTGAGTCACTTCCAAATTCATTGTTTATCTCAGTTTTGTAAAAAAAATTATCTTTAGAAAATGTGGCTCGTAAAGTTAGAAATATGTTGACTTGGCAACATTGATCAGTCAAAGTCGTCAACTTTTTGAAGGCCATAGATAGGCCTAAATAAAATGTTTTTTAATTGTGTACCAGTTTAACATTGAATATTATTTATGATTTTAACTTTATACACAAGTGCCAAAATACTATAATTATATTTTAACATCGTTTAATATCAAAATTTAACAAAATATTCATGATGATCTAAAAACATTTAAATTATAACAGTGATGGGAAAGCTATAAACAGTATTGTGTTACATGGATTTAATTAATGATGCTAATTATTTGTTTTGTGTAATTGTGAGAAATGTCTATTTGGTACATAAGAAATCTTCAAACCTAATAATATGTCATGACTTTTGTGCTGTTTTTGAATTGTTTACTTTTTGTTTGATGTTTAAGTCAACTTTGTCTCACTGAGAAAAAGTTGATTGTTAGTAACTTCTGTTCAAAAGTAAATTAAACTACAAGTACATTACATATTCTATAAGTACCCCCAGTATATTATTATTATTACATATGGCTTTTTCTTTTCTTCCATCAGTGCTGTGTATAGTTAATGATTTGTATTCACTTTCATTTAATGTTTCACTCTCTGTTAACTACTGTCATTTCCTGTTTTTTCATTTCCAATATTTAGGTAGCACACACCTATGGGATACAGGCAGTACAAGGCTAATATATGTATGTCAGTCTCTTAAGTTCAAACCAAAGAGCATATACTGTACTTGAAACATGATCTTTGCACAGAAAAGGAATAACTCTTTCCCTACTGACCCACATGTAATATATTCCATCATTAGATAGATGTTCCTATGTGTTCCATTGTGTCTGCTTAAGCTAACATACACCTTGTGAATGCAGTCATTCTTCAGATAGCCGTGAAAAGTTTAGAGCTTCATTACACACTTATTATAAGCTCTGAAAGACTGTATTCTCTTGAAGGATACTGGATATACTGTGTTTGTGGAAAGACTGGCATCTGAGTTTATAACATTCAGTTCCTGAAGAGAATCCAATGTACTCCAAAATCTATTATAACAACATTTATATCAACTGCCTGTATTCTTGTTTTTATGTTTAAAATTTTATTGAATAGGGAAAAATCTTGTTTAACTAATCTTTTGACATTCTTTGAATAGGTTACTGCTTATGTAGATGAGGGTAAAGGTGTAGATTTTCAGAAATAATTTGACATGGTGCTGCTTAAAAGACTCGTTAAAAATTACCTCTCTAGGTGTGAGTGATAGGTTGGCTTATAGGATAGAAAACTGGCTGGATGAAAGAAAGTACAGGGTTGTTATAAATGGAGTTCTGTCAAAATGGATTACTGTCACATGCGAAGTATCTCGGGGCTCTGTGTTGGGACCTTTGCTCTTTTTAACGTCATCATGTCATAGATGAAGGAATGGTAATAAATTGTATACATTTGCTGATGATACAAGGTTTTGGGTGTTGCTGGCTGTGAGAAGGATGCTGCTGCTTTACAAAAGGAATTGGGTTACTTGGTGAGTTGGACAAATAAATGGCAGATGGCATTTAATTATAATATATATATATATATGAAAGATATCATAATTTGAATTATGAGCACAATTTTGATGGGAATAATCTTAACAGTGTCATGAAAGAAAATGATCTAAGTAGTGTGTTGTTGCTAGTGGTAGGGCAAAGAGGATTTGAGGTTGTATATACAGAAATCGCATATAAGCCAAAAGAGGCTATAATTTCATTCTATATGTCATTAGTTAGATTACATTTGGAGTGGCCCAGCATGGCCAGGTGGTTAGGGATCTTGATTTGCAATCTGTGGGTTCGAATCCCCATCCCACCAAACATGCTCGCCCTTTCAGCTGTGGGGCATTATAATGTGAAGGTAAATCCTACTATTAGTTGGTAAAAGAGTAGTTCAAGAGTTGGCGGTGGATGGTGATGACTAGCTGCCTTCCCTCTAGTCTTACTCTGCCAAATTAGGGATGGCTAGCGCAGATAGCCCTCGTGTAGCTTTGCGCGAAATTCAAAACAAACAAACACATTTGGAGTACTGTTCAGTCTTAGGCTCCTTACCTGAGGAAAGACATTGAAATTGTTGAAAAGGATTTAAAGGAGGGCTACTATGATGGTACCTGGAATGGAAAAGTTGTTATACACGGACAAACTAAGATCTCTGAAATTTTCTTTTGAAGAAGGAAGAGTTAGAGGGAATGTGATTGAGGTGTTTAAGATTATTAAGGGAAATGATACATCATCATTTTTTGTATTTAATGGTGAGAATGGTATGAAGAGAGGGCACATATATAAATTTTGGCAGGGTAGAAGTCATAAGAGTTTTTATTTTTTTGTTAGGATGATTGGCTTTTGGAATGAGTTGCCTTCAGATGTGATGGATCCAATTAAGGGAAGGCTTGATAGGTATTTGAATGATAAGAGCTGGGTTTTAACAGGCCCCTCAAGAGCCATTTTTGTTGTAAAAAAAACAAAAAACTACCCAATCCAGATTTTTCTTAATAGGAACTAAAATGTTTTGGACATTTTTACTGACTAAAAAGAAGGCATGTTCTCACACTCTTTTAGCATTGGGGCTGCAAAAAGTAATTGGAAGTGGTAAGGTGACTGAAATCTGTTAGGGCATCACAAGCTTAACAGCCAAGCACAAGAAGCATGTAAGTCTCCAAATGACATGAAAGGTATTCAGGAACTGTTAGAATCACCTTAGTAGATATTGTGCAACAAGCTGTGTACAATATTATGCCTGTAGCTGCTTTCAAAGTGTTCCTGTCTGCTCATCCTACTGCTGACTATTGTAATGCTTCAACCTACCCTACTGAATCACAGGTGAAATCACTTGTATCTCAGTTGAAAGCTAAACATAAAAAGGTGATAGCAGAAGCAATAAAGGTTGAAAATTGCTTAATTAATGATGCTGAGAATGTGGCTTTATTGATATATACTGAATTTACTCCCAGTCGGTAGACCCTAGTACTAGCTAGTATGGAGACTTGAGGATGCTGTATTTCATTTTAAAATTTATCAATTAACAAACTAAAACTTGTATTGAAGTTGGCTCAAAGATATGTCCAAAACCACCCTCTTTGGGAGCTTCCAGATTGGACTTGCTTTTAATATTCAACAAATTGTAGTGTAAATACACCCCTTGGCTCCTGATGGATGTGTTAAAGTTTAGAGAATAGGATGGGCTAAAATATTGAAGCTTTGCATATTAGAACTGTGAATTTACTAAATATATCTTCACAAAATTTGACAAGTTTTCAGTAAACATTATAAGTCTGACATACACAGAAAAATCAGAATTTTAATAAAGTATTTATATTAAAGAGTTGTCTATGAATTTTCAAACTTTTACTAAGTCAATCTGAGTGCAAGATGACTTTCATGCTGAGAATAAAAATACTTCTTCTCGTCTTGTCCCCCAATGGCACAGCGATATTTCTGCAGACTTGTACTTCTAAAACTGGGTTTCGATACCCATGGTCGGCAGAGCACAGATAGCCCTTTGTCCTTAATAACAAACAATGACATCATTCCCACAAGTCATGTTATGTAGATGTTGTGTAATCGATTAATGATTCTGATGAGTAAACAATTCCCAAATTCCACTAATTGCCCAGTTCTGGTAAAAGCAATGTTACCTTTTAAAAAAATTTATCACATTTCATAATGATAAACAACATACTAAAGAATGAAGTTATTTAAAATTTGTGCTCACTTACAAAAAAATTAACCAAATTAAGAAAATAATCTTAAGCTGTGGGAGATTACACGGATCAGCCTACATGTATGTAGGATTTTATACATATTAAAGAAATAAGAATATGATGCATAAGACTTGCTAACTTTATATAATCTTAAGCTGTGGGAGAGTACACGGGTCAGCCTACATGTATGTAGGATTTTATACATATTAAAGAAATAAGAATATGATACATAAGACTTGCTAACTTTATATAAGCTTAAGCTGTGGGAGAGTACATGGGTCAGCCTACATGTATGTAGGATTTTATACATATTAAAGAAATAAGAATATGATGCATAAGACTTGCTAACTTTATATAACTGATTACCTGTTTGCATCAATCAGCACAGGTAAGATAATTAGTTAATTGAATTTATGATTAAATCCACTAATCTTATGAAAATAATCAACTAATTAAAATTAGTGTTTCTAATTATTACTATCTTCAATTATTTAATCTATCCAGTATTTTGTAAACGTAATTGATTGTGTAACGAGCCACCAAAAATTCCAGTAATCTCCCAGGTGTAATAACAAATAGATAACTTTCTGTCAATATACCTGCACTAGTTCCGATGTAAATATTTATTTCTTAGCCATCATTTTTAGGCAAATTTCCCATCTTATGTCCTTTAAACAATTCCCTAAGAAAATAGTTTGTGATTTTACGTAAAATTTTAGTCTCAACATGCTAAGGTGAATATCAGTGTTGTTCAATAGCCATCTCTTCCCTGTCCATAAATCTAATCTATTGGTCAATCAAATTAACCTGTTCTTCTTGACAAGTTATTTGTAACAGCTTATATAACATATTTGTCTAATCCAAGAAAGAACTGAGAGATATCCATGTATAACCTTTCTTAATATCTGTGAAAGGCACCAGAAGGTTAGATACTGTAAAGTATGTATACAGAAGACTTTGGTTTTGATTTGTCTAGACTATGAAGAAAGATGATTTTTTGTACATTGTTACCATTTTTACTTAGTTTAGAGTGTTTCTCATCTAAAGCGTAAGAATGTGGCTCGCTGACAAGTACTATAGGAGGGAGATTCATCTACAAGTGCTACAATAATCAAATAACATAGCTCCACTATTAGAAACTGTTTATTTTTAAATAAAAATTACTGTAAATACATATATGTTCATGCTTTTTTGTAAATGATTATGATATACAACTTCATTTTGATGAACATTTAAGTACATATTCAGTACATATTCATGTAATTGGAATAAAATATGAATATCTTCTGTTTTCAACTATGTGAATTACACATTTCAGCAATTTAGATACATCTTGTAAAGTTTTAAATGCTTATACTTTTTTATTTGATTATTTTTCTTTTCAGATAATACATACTGAGGTTTATTTGTGTAGACCCTCAACTCTATCTTCGGTGAAAGTTGAGACAAGATTTGCTGTTATCTTTGATTCTTGTTTACATTTACATGTATAAAGTTCACTTGGATGTATTGTAATCCAGATAAAAATTTTGAGGGTGATAAGTATATATGCTTGTTAACTTCCATTATTTTAAGTAGTATTCAATTTAATTAAGGGTCCAGTGCTTCTCAACTGGGTGAATGGTTCACCTGGGAGTTAATGAGATCAGAATCAGCGTAAGTGAGAATGACGAGGCGAATGGCAGAGTGAATGAGTATTATCAATTATACAACAAATTCAAGAGCAAAAAATGTCATTAGTTATTATTATTATTTATTCTAGTTGTTGTTCGATAAATACATTTATTTTTTTGTTTATTTTATGATGTATTCATTCTAGTTGTAGTTGATGTATATCTAAGTCATAATAAAGAATTCTGCACTTTAATTTAGTACTTTTTTGTCTTTCAAACAGGGGGAGTGAGATGTTGTGAAAACCTTATAGGGGTGAATGATATTGGAAAAGGTTGAGAAGCACCGATCTAGACTAATATATATTAAAGATTAATATCTTTCTTGTTTTCTATGTTAAACCAGTATTTGTTCTGAAAAGTGAGCTCATCACTTATACATTTATTTTCCAAGATTATACTGAGAACTATCTACAATGGTGACCCTGGAAATTCCCTCAGACTATGGCTATGTTGTTCTAGTATCTGTTGGCTCAGCATTTGTCAACACATGGATGGCAATGAAAGTTGGTGCTGCTCGGAAGAAGTATGGAATCAAGGTAATGTTCTTGTTTCTGAAATTGGAAATGTAGTAAAGTGATTTCTATTCCTCTTTGTGTCTATTGCCTTTGAAAGGAGTTCAGAAAGTTCTCTTTACAATATCCAAAACCTTGATTTTGGTATTCTTCAGCCTCCTACATTTTTGTTATTGTTATTTTCAATTCAGCCAAGATGAATAATTAAATCCAATAAATAACAAGACTGTTAAAAATTTTCAGAAACTTTCTTGCTTTGTTTTAATATAAAATTATAGATTCTAGGATTTTTTCCAGATTAACCTAATGTTTTCTGCAAGATGCAAAACAGTCAGTTAATACTGAAACAACAACCTAGTAAACCAAATCTACAGGTACATTTAATTAAATACATCTTTACAAGGATGGAAATTCTTTAGATATACGAGTGTCTTATAAATGGCAAAGATTGATAACTGTCCAGCTGCTTCTTTATATATGTATTTCATATCTTTCCATGTTTTACAATCAAAGACAAAATATCTTGACACCTTGTATGCTGTTTCACACATTTATAGAAATTCATGTGTTCTAACTAAGTTGCATACTGTCTAATACAATTTAATCTTTATTGCTGATACAACTGAATACATCTTATGTCATTCTCAGTCATATGATATACATTTATTTTAAGTCTAAATTAAAACTTGTCCTTTGTTTTTGTACATAATAGGGAATAGTAAAGTAATTGGTACTTAGTTGTATCATTAGTCATATGATCCCTTTAAAGCTTTATTTGTTATCTACTCTGTTTAGTTTTTCATTTAATACAGTTTATATATTATCATGCTGTCAATGTGCTTCCTAAGTTAATGACAAATATCTGAAAAACAAGCATATTTTAACATCAAAATCATAAATAATATTCAGCATTAAACTGGTACATGTAACGTCGAAACATGAACTAATAGTGAGTGGAGAGAGAGAGACATACACACAAAGCATCAATACTACTGTAGTTCCTGGGACCCAAACAGTAGGAGGCATAACCTTCTATGCTGTGATAATCAGTGATGGAACTTCCACTGGATTGGACAAGACTGAAAGTGTAAT